GCTGCTAGATTTCTCTGGACTCGCTAGCATACCACATCTTAGACATTCCAGACTGACTAAACTTAAAAATAATAATAATATTTAGCTAAAAAGCAATCAAAATATTTTCAATAAGTGTAAGGTGAGGCAATTGTGCAAAATCTTGCCATCATTTATAGAATCTGGAGCCTATTAGCAGGAGTGAAATAGCCCACATATTTCAAAGGATAAGTCTAATGTAGTTCAAACAAGCTCCAAACATCAAGTCACTTTCACAACCATCCAAGTTCTAGGATGCATTGTCTGGGACATCAGCCAGGTTGGCAAACAAATCATTATAAAATGCAAAGGTATTAAGTGCCCTCTTGCCTTTGGCAGTACACTCAAAGCTATTCAAATATATTATAGTGAAACTAAAATACAGCCACCAAGTCTCAGCCAAAAAGAGGGAGTGAAGTCTATGCATGTCTTTTTAAAAAACCTGTTTAGGTATTCCAACTTTTGTTCTATTTCCTTGTGAAAGACAAACCTAGGAAGAAGTGGAGGAGGAAGACCCAGCCATAAGCTTGTAGAAAAAAAAGAAGGAGGAAAAAGTAGGCTTTGATGAACGCATTTAAGGATTTCAGTGCTAGGGACACTTTGAAAACTCATTATAGAAACTCATGATCAAAATAGGTCCAAAAAAAAAAAAGGCTAATTCTCTTAGGTCTGAGTCAATAAAAAGGAAACGTTATGGCCTCTCTTTCTGTCCTCGTCTATCTTTCTCTCTCTCTCCCAATCAACAACTGTCCAGGCAGACAGATCAGCCCGCTGGGCACACACCCTTTTGTATGGTCAATCACTTGGAAGAGAATGGAGAACTGAACAGTCTTCCAAGTATATGAAGAGACTGTATGTACAATGCCAGCAGCCACTTTATCTGTTTTAACAGAGAAGGCCACGAAGAAATAAACTTCCTATTACATAGGATAGCTTTTCCTGGCACATCAGGAAGGAATTCCAAAATATAAGATGGGCTCTCTGAGACTGGGATTTGGCATTCTGTTGTCAGGTGCTCTTTCTCCCCCCCCCCCACCCCCACCCCAATGATGATTACCATAACACTACATTTGCAGCAATTTCCAGTTTTCAAAACACTTCTACATATATTCCATTCTCTCCAAGAGGGGGGGATGGGTTCTCATATTTGCCTACTTGGGACAGAGAGGTGAACTAAAACGAATGTGTCTTCAACCACTGGATCTGTTACATATTTCCTGGTGACTAAGGTACAAAAATGCCAGTTTCTGCCATTACCCACTCTCATATTCTCTAGAGTCCCTACACAAAGATTCAAGATTTACCCAGGCAGCAAATATTAAGGGGCTCATTAAACGCTGAATCAATGAATGTAACTAAACTGTCAGGCAGAAGCTGACATAAATTTGAATCCAACCTCTTCCACTTTTTAACTTTCCAAAAGTTGTTTACACTTTCTGAAGTCAGTAACTGCATTAGAAAGAGAACTCGAAACCTTAGCATAAAGCCTGGCATGTTAAAGAAGCCCCCAAAAGTGTGCTATTGTAAGTCCCACTTACCAAAAAAAAAACATTGCCCTCTGGAGATATTTTTTCCTTTCCCAGCAATTTAAGGAACCATATCAGGCAAAATTCTGTGGTTTCGCTTATAGTAAATAAAGCAGCTTCCATTCGGTTACATTCTAAGATACAAGCTTACAAAATAAATGGAAAGAAAAAGAAAGTGTAAATCCTTTGTCTAATTAAGCTTTGGGGTGTCGCTGTCTGGGAGCTCGAGAATTGCCATCCTTTATAATTAAATCTTCTTTGTGACCGCGTCTCATGATATGTAACTAATACAGCTTGACTTGCCCACAAGTAAGAATGTTAAAATTCCATTCGAATTAGCAGAAAGCAGGGAAAGAAAGAGAGCTGGGACAGATGAGAAAATTTCACTTGTCTTAGAGGACAGAGCCGGAGCCACACTTGACAAACCCCTACCTGGTCTGAAAAAAAAGTTATCCAAAGCTTTAACTAAGAGGATAAGAAGCCACCATTGTTGGTGGCTTAAAGCGATCCACTTTCCCTGGGACTCCGGGCAGTGGGGCCCTCATTGGAAATGCAAAATCCCCAGCTGGGGGCAAGAAGAAGAGAAAATGTTTAAAAGATGCTCAGGTCCGGAGTGCCAAGACCAAGGGTCTCAGAATCCGAAGCTCAATCTCCTCCCTCCACACCCACCCCTTCGTCCCCCTCCCATTCTTTGGGAGCAGCTCCTTCCCAGCTCTGCCATCGGGTGTCAGGGAGACTTGGGAAGTGCCCCGGGAACTGCTGAGAGATGGAGAAACACACAAAGGCTCCCTTCCACAAAGCATGCTTTCACAGAGGCGGCCGTGTCTATTAAACACATCCCCTGACCGCGCATACACTTCTCTAAGGAGATTATGAGGACCACGAGCTCACTCAATTAGCCCCACAAAATGTTGTTAAACCCACTGCAGGCAGGAGAAAAAGGTATGCGTGGCGAGGAGGAGGGGAGATTTAAAATTAGTGGCAGGGGGCCTCCCCTCTCCTTGGTCATTCCCAGGGGAAAAGAAGGTGTGCACAAAACCGTCCCATAAGGCTGCTGCAGCTTCTGGGTGGAGCCAGTTGGCATCCGTACAATTCTTTTCCTCCACTTGCATTCTCATAGTGCCAGCTACGGGGCTGTAACACATTCAGAGTGTCCCTTCCCATACATAAGTCATACGAGAGGCATAATTCCCCGTGCAGTAATATGTGCTTTTCAAACTGCTCTGCAAATCTTTGGAAGTTGGGAGTACAAAATGTAGTAATTTTCCAATAAAACTTATGATACATTTTCTCAAAATATAACAGTATAAATGCGGTGCCCAACTTTAGACACTTACAGTTACTAAACCACTCATGGGCTGTCATTGGCTAAATGAATGATTAAATTTTTCACCACATTTATTTCTTCATGATTACTTCCTTCCTGGAGAATGAAGTAGTTACGCAAAGAACAAGTCGACCCAAAGCAATAAATGGAATGTCTTATTTATCTAAATGTATGAAAGATAAATAAAGAGATCTTTCCCTCAAAAAGTACTTTTTAGCTCTTATAATAAGATATGTAAGACTTTATAATTCACAAAGGGATTTTAGAGACAGTTCATTTGATATAACAGCTCTGTGAAGTGTTACTTACTCTCATGTTATAGGTGAAGAAAGAGACCCAGAGGGATTAAGGTGGAACCCCGGGTTATTGCTTCTAAATTCACCTCACCCCCACTCTCACCCCAGCACTTCCTGAGAGTCTACTCTTGTCCTGGGCACTATATAAGGTATTGAAGAATTAGAGCAGAGGTTCTCAACCTGTGGGTCGCGACCCCTTTGGCGGTCGAACGACCCTTTCACAGGGGTCGCCTAAGACCATCCTGCACATCAGATATTTACATTACGATTCATAACAGTAGCAACATTACAGTTATGAAGTAGCAACGAAAATAATTTTATGGTTGGGTCACAACATGAGGAACTGTATTTAAAGGGCCGGAAGGTTGAGAACCACTGAATTAGAGAAAGCAGGCTTAGTTTCTTCCCATAAGTAGCTCACAGAGCAAGTACAGAGTTCTAAGGGGGTCACAAAGCAGCCATAACTCAACCCAAATATAGATGTAAAAAAAGGAGACAACCTTTCAGTATTAGAAACTAGACCTAGTTGTCCAGTATAGACAATGAAGGAAATACCATAACTGAATCCTCAAGGACAAGCCCAGTGTTCTCTTCACACCACAATGCCTTCCATACTCACCAGTATTAAGCGAGGCTAACAAAAAATGGAACTGATGAGAGTATTTATTCCAGAAGATAAATAATTGCCCACTATACTCAGCAAGTCCCAGCAGCAGGGCTGTCTGTTATACTTACGCTAAGTCTGAAGAAAAGGTAAGTGACATAAGGTAAGTGAAGTGCCATTGGCACAGGCAGGTACTCCATTAAAGGTAGCTTACTATTCCCGTGTGACAGGGGGAGTTACCCTCTGGGATGAGCAGGAAAACTCCTTCCTGTGAGATGAGCCTGGAGAGACATGGAGCCACGATCCATTTGGTTCAAAGGCACTAAATGGACACATGGCCTAGGAAAGGGGATGAGGCCAGGCTGCTGGTCAGAGGCCTGTTTCTGAGAAAATAATGGGAGAACCCATCTCCCTGCTACCAGAAGAAAAGCTATCCTTCCCTATATTTTTCTAAAGTTATAAAAATGCCATTATAACTCAAGCAACGAAGATTTCCAGTGGCCTTTGACTAAAGATAAAACATCCCCAAATACAGGCTGTTTATACTGCAGCTATAGAATATCTGCAGCTAAAAGAATAATGCTACCCAGATTTTTTTTTTAATTTCTTCATTTTTTTTTAATGTGAACTTGTTTTTTTAAAAATCCCAATCTTTTTAAACTCATGGAGAAATATTTTGAAAGAGTCCTAGAGTTTCAAACCATCATTAGTCAAAAAAGAAAACTAAGGAACTGTCTTTGAAGAAAATCAAAGATAGTTTGTAATTTTAACTCACACAAAAGGCTAGTCTCTCACTGTTCGTTTTTAGTGATAATTTCATAAAGTGAGAACTGTACCCAATCCCCCATCGTTTTGGGTCACTACGTAGAGGACCTTGACATTCAGGGACTAAACCTTTAAAGTTTGGACCATTGTAAAGCAAACCTTACCCAAGCTCTAAAGCATGGTAATCAATTTGAGTCATTATTAATAGTATAGTCATATCATCCTGGTTTCTAGGGATCATAAGATAGGCTTGATTATGTCCATACTTTCTAAAAGTTATTTAAGCAAAGTTTTTCTCGACTTCTCTTTTTAATTTTTACACAAAGACCGCATGGGGTTGTAGGTATAGGGAATTTAAATTGGCAGGAGCGTTCAGTCCTACATTCCCACCATCAGTTGCTGTTGATCCCCCTGAGAATAAGAGGTGATGCCTGAAAAGTATGATAGGAAGCGATTTTACATACGTGCTTTCTTTCAGTCCTCACTACATTCTTTGAGGTAGCTAGTACTCCCCATTTTACAGATACAGCACTTGAGGCTAGGAAGCCAGGTCACACAACCTCTGTGTGATTGTTCTGGAAAGACAGAAGAGTTCTGAAAGTCACTGAATGGGATCACTGTGGGAGAGCAGTGCTTTGCTCACCCAACGTGCACGCTCTCCCCTCAGATGTCTGAAGGGCACAGGCGTCTTCTGAGAGAGGGAAACTCATCAGTTGGAGGAGAAAATGCCAGGTTTAAAGTGAGGCTTGTTAGAGAGGGAGCTATCACAGATTATTAATTTAGCCTTCTCTCCCAGCCAGTGTTTGATGTAAATGGCAAGGGTTCAAAGGTCAAAGAGGAAGAAGTATGTGCTTTAATTTCTCCCCCCTAGAGGTGCGTGGATGTTTTCTATTAACAAAAACCCTGTAGCCAACAAATCCCGGGCTTGGATCAAACGGCCCTCCATCTTTTAAGTTACAACATCACAGGGAGGCGTTTCAAGAGGAAACGGGCCCCAGCAGACCTGCACTACCGGGGAGAAGGCTGGTCTGGCCTTTAGGAATTTGAAAAACATTTTCCTTTTTGCTGAAATTGCTTAGTGACAGACAAAAATGTCCCCAAATCGGCGTTCTTGATCTATAGACAGGGACAAAATTGGGAAAAACAGCAACACACACACAGAAGAAGTGGGCAGGGACTGAAAATAGAGCCATTAGTACCTGAAGAACCAAGCCCTCCGGCCAAGGCTATTAGGAACAGACATTTTGGCAGCAAGCTTAGTCCACAGGGCTCTGTCTGAGTTCAATGAAAATAGCCAGTACTTAATCTGTATTACAGTGTACCGTACATAGCAAATGCTCAATCAGTAGTAGGTAATATTGGATAACACTTCCCTTTTCCCAGCCATAATAATGTAGGAGACTCGTCCTACTCATTTCTCATCCCCACACACCAAAACCCTCACTGCTGCTCAAAACCTAGACGTGAGGGTTGGACCGTGAAATTCTGATGAGCAGCAACATATCCCTTCATAGAAAAAGGCTAACACTTTGTGAGAACTCTGACATCAGCCACTGGGCCAGATATTCTCGTAGACCTTCTCTCATAACCCTATCACCATGAATGTACCCCTGACTTTCACACTGAGAAACCTGAGGCTCGGAAGGGCTTGCATTAAAAATTAATTTCTGGAAACAGGCTTTTGTGATTTGGCCTGGGTAGTAGGTCTACATTTTTTTTTAAATTTAAATTTAAATTTAAATTTAAATTTATTTATTTATTTATTTATTTTAGAGAGAGGAAGGGAGAGAGGGAGAGAGAGAAACATCAATGTGAGAGAGAAACATCGATCAGCTGCCCCCCGATACTCACCAGACCTGGGGATCAAACCAACAACCTGGGTATGTGCCTTGACCGGGAATCGAACCCACCACCCCTCGGTACACAGGCCAACGCTCCAACCAACCGAGCCACACTGGCCAGGGCTGGGTCTGCTTTTATAACCCCTTTGCGTGAATGTTGTTTCAAACAACAGACTTTGACATGGTATTTGGAAGCCAAACTGTTGTAAACTGAGGATACCTGGAAGCATTCAGATTTCTCACCACTGCTTGGGAAGGCCTCTGCACTACCTATAAATGCCTTTTACTTTGAAGCACATCCACAAAGCCTCCAGGAAGGTAAGCTTCCCCCTTGCCCAACAGGACAGCCCTAGGAGACTGGAGAGTGGGGTAAGTCCCAGGCAGTTCAGTTAGAAAAAAGAAATAAAAATCCAAGCGCAGGGTTTATGGAAAACACACAGAGGAAGAATAAAGCATGGTAATTGTTTACAGGCCACTTGTGAGTCTTCTAAAAAGGTCGTAAACAAGAAATGTGGCTTGGGAGAGACTAGCCTGAAGTGTTTATCCCTCAGGCAATCCCTCCAGTGCCTGTGAGCCCTCCGCATTCATCAGACTAAAGTCTTGCCCTGGCCAGGTGGCTCAGTTGGTTGGAGTGTCCTCCCATACTCCAAAGAGTGTGGGTTCGATTCCCAGTCAGCGTGTACTTGAGGCAACCAATCAATGTTTCTCTCTCTCCCCTCCCCCTTCCGCTCTCTCTAAAAATTCAATAAAAATATCCTCAGGTGAGGATTAGAATAAAAGTCTCAATCATTGCATTCGAATCATCTCCCTGCCCCCACCCTGGCCCCCACTGTTCCCAGACAGCTTACTAACAACCCCTGCCCCCCACCCCCACCCCACCAGGGTAATACCTACTCCAGGAAGGCAGAGCTGTACTTTGTTGACTATTCTACCTTCAGTATCTACAAGAATGCCAAGCTAGCAATAGATATGCATACATGTGAAATGAAAGATGACTTATTTCACCATTTACTTCATTGTCCCTGTTAAACTGTTTAGATACAAGAATCATCCCTACAGTTTTAAAGGTGTTATGCAGAGACATGAATGTTTTAAGGAAAAACGTATTTACAGAATTCTAATGTGATCATAAAACTAAGAAGAAATGGTCCAATGTCTATCTATACAACTTTGATCTTAGTCTCATTAACTACGAGAACCAGTGTGTAAAAATCAAATTCTAATAAAATGGAAGAGACCTAAAATTACAAAATCAGGCACACTGCTTGGTAGATGGTATGCAGGCTTCCTATGCCTTGATTCAATGTTAGATATTATGGGAAGTAGCACCACATAACTTTTACTTCAATAACCTATGAACGTGCTAAGTAAAAATTCTGTTACATTCAAGTCCTGTAACATTTGAATCAGATCCAATGGAAGACAAGTTTCTGGAGGGTAAATTAAAAAAGGATACTTATCATGCTTTACCTCCTTGATATATTTTACTATGTCATAAGGAGATTCCCTTCATAATGAATTCTTGATAACTTAGTCCAAAATAGATAGCAATTATTTTTGTAAGTACGAATGTCTCCAAAATCATTTATTAAGATCCAATAAAATGGGTGTTTATGTTCATTTGAAAATGTCTTAACTATTACTTAGTTTCAATCACTAAATGAACTAAATGCAGACTGTTTAGTAACCACATCCTGGATGCAGTAATTCTCTTCATGACTTTTCTAAAGGTCATCATGGAATAGACACAGCCAAACAAAAAATAAGGGATGGGCAAATGGAGCTTGGTCAAAAATCTGAAATTTTCAAAACACAAATTATAAAGTATCTCCTACCGGGTGCTTAGAAACATAATTCTGTCCGAAACATGTTATGCCGTGAAACATATTACGTTATTAGGATGTATCTGTAATAATAGGTTTGCAAAATATAAACTCCACCAGCATAGGTAATTCCAAACCATAATCATCTCACATAAAGCTAACATTATATTCTAATACATATTAGAACTGCCTTCCACACCTTCTACTAACCAAATAGATTAAGCAGTCCCAGATTATCATGCCAACATGACACCGTCAAGTACTTCCTAGTAAATAATCAATTAAATTTTTAAAAGGAGGTGGGGGAGAGTCCAGCATAAAACTAAGATGCTAGCCAAAATGATCAAAGTCATTCCCATGCCCTGGCCGGTGTTGTTAACTGGCTAGAGCAGTGGTCAGCAAACTCATTAGTCAACAGAGCCAAATATCAACAGTACAACGACTGAAATTTCTTTTGAGAGCCAAATGTTTTAAACTTAAACTATATAGGTCAGTACATTGTTATTAACTTAATTAGGGTACTCCTAAGCTGGCCTTTGCTAAAAACATCCTAAATCTGATTGAGGTACATTCGCTGAAGTCGACCCCTTCCAACTCTCCCATCCACACTCGTCTTGTATACTTGTTTCGTCTATCTCCTTTCATTCATCCTCTCTATATGTCCAAACCATCTCAACATACCTTTCTCAATCTTCGACACTACATCTCCTTTCACTCCACAACGTTCCCTAAAATTAACTTAATAAACTTTACTTAAAGTTTAAAGTCAACTTCACACTGTACGTGCGCACCCGCACGTGGTATTTTGTGGAAGAGCCACACTCAAGGGACCGAAGAGCCGCATGTGGCTCGCGAGCCGCAGTTTGCCGACCACTGGGCTAGAGCATCAGCCTGTGCACCGAAGGGTTGTGGGTTTGATTCCTGGTCAAGGGCATGTTCCTGGGTTTCAGGTTCATCCCTGGCCCTGGGAGGCAACCAATCAATGTGTGTCTCTCTCACACACATATCCCTCTCTCTCTCTCTCTCTCTCTCTCTCTCCACTCCACTCTCTCTAAAAATCAATGGAAAAAATATCCTTGAGTGAGAGGTCTGGAACCACTGCACTCATTATACAACAGGCAAGAGCAGCCTGAGAATTACCTAATATCGGGTGACAGAGCCTGGAGAGTAACAGAGAACAAGTGGAGCCAGGGCTCTGGTCAAACTGTGCCTGAAGCGCACGCACACTATCGGTAAACCTTCCAGCTACTTAAGCCAACAAACTCTCTTTATCCTCTCAGGCAGTTTCAGATGGCATGGGTTATTACTTATAACTCAATATATCCATTGACAACAATGATGATGATGACAATGAGTCTACAACATACATATAACTGTGACTCTAACAACCACCCAGGGTTGAGACAGGTATGATTTTTCTACTTATAGAGTGAGAAAACTGAGGCCATGAAGAGGAAAACGGGGACTTGTCAAAGTTACACAGCTAATAAGCTAAGATCTCGATTGCCTTTATTCATCAATTGCTCAGCAGAGAATATCTGTAAATGTGAAGATTATCAATGTAGTCTCATATTTTCTATATTGAACAGTCTTATTCTCTTGAGTCTTTAATCTATTGCAACTATCCTACTAAATCATAGCCTTGGCCCAGTGAGCTTTTGTTGATGTACATCAAGCATGTCAAACTCGCGGCCTGCGGGCCGCATGCCTCATTTATTTGGTCCATGTTAGCCTTTGAGTTTGACATGCTTGATGTACATCATTAAACAATACAATTTTATCAAATTTAAATGAAATTGCAAAGGTAAATGTGGTGCTACCACTCCATGAAGAATAAATGCCTTCATTACTTTCCCCACCTCCATTTTTGTCTCCCCCCACCTCCACCTCCACCCATACCCCATACAACCAGGGTACCCAATAGCCAGAGGGATATTTCTAAAGCAAAAGTCAATCACATGGCTCTTAT